ATTTCTAGGCATCCTGCTCTTTTAATTTTAACTCTCAAAACATGGATGGTGTTCTTCACGTGCCTTCCATTTCTCCCTTATTTTCCTTAGCATCCTGACCAGAACTGAATACTGGTTACAGTATTCGTGTTACAGTATATTCTTGTTACAGTAATATCTATGCCTTACAGGGAGGAGCTCACATGGCTTGATTCAGTGAAGGTCCTTAACACGCACACGCGCGCGCGCGATGCTGCTGTAATTTCGGCAGCCATATTTCTTTGTAAACTCCTGTGCAATTTTTTACTGTGTGTTTCTCAAGTTTTCTGCAAAAGTGCTGCTTCCTCCCATTTAGTACTACGTTTTCAGGTTTTCTTTGGCAAATGGTCCATTGTGCAGTTTCCCATGATTGTTTTATCTTGCTCTACAGCCCTACCTCTCAAGCACCCGAAGCTTGTCTCCAATGTCTGGACTTTTTGGTTCCATCTGGGCACCTCAGAGTGATGTTTATGAAAGCTGCTGCCCCGTCAGTGCCACGACTCAACATTCAACCCATGTGGAGAACCAGGCAGTTATGTGTAAGCAGGAATACTATCCGAGGTTTAACCCTTTCCGTGCCTACATGAACTTGGACATATGGACTACAGCAGCCAATCGAAATGCAAATTTCCCTCTTTCGAGGGACTCGGGTTATTGTGGAAACGTGTGAAAGGAATTTGATTTAAAAATGTGAATAAAGATGCTTGCAATTTTGATTACTAGAGTAAGCTGGTTGCTGAATAGATTACAATGTTGGTGAATATTTTGGCACTTTTATATTGAAAATAAATTTTTTTTACTGAAGTCTGAGCATTCAGTGCATTTTAAAAAGCACAGCATATTCAGGACACTTATTGTCAGGTGAAGGCTGTAAATTTAAAATTGATTTTTTTTTTTCATGGATAAGGACAGTATTAGTTCTTAAAAGCATCCATGAACCTGTACTGCAAATGTGTCTTCTGAAGTTTGCTTTCTGTGGTATAAACTAGGAGTGGTTTAGCATTTTTGGGTAGAAATTTACAACCACAAGTAATCATATCTGTACCAAATAGTAGCACTGGGGGCTTACCTATTGATGCAGATCAGAGAATTTCCAAATGGTGCCACTTCTAGTGCTGACAATAGTTGTTTGTGGGTGTAAACTTCTGGCAGTAGAAAAAAGGCTGAATTGTGGCTTGTTTATCTGGCTTCAAAAATGCAAGCTGTTGCTTTGATGATGTTATGGTTGTGCAGTGTGGGTGAGTGGGCATTTCTTCCAGGAACTTTTCTTGTGACTCCTGGCATTTTGTGTTTATATTTTTAGCCTTCATGTTGTAATAGCGTTTTCAGTGCATTTAATTGCACTTGTTTAAAGTTCCAAAGCTTGAACTGAAACAAATGTTTCTTTGAGAGCAGAGTTCACACCACTCTCCATAACAGAATGCCATTGTGTTGGCTCATGTCAGGAGACTGAATCTCTGTAGTGAGAAAGGCAACTGAGGAAGTGCTGCCACCAATGCCAGGTCTAAATCTATTGTGCAAGCTGTCTCTGCTTACCCTTCCTGTAGAGCCTTTTTTTCTGGCATGGCAGAGTGTGTCTGGGTGTGAAAAGTAAGGGAAGGCATCCCTTTGATTCAGAGATGTCCTTGGTACAAGGGGACTTGTTAAGCGTGAAGAGAGAGTGAATCCTCTTCACGCTGTACAAATCCTTGTACGGCTGCTTAAAGAAGAGCCATAGAGATGGCAGAACCAAATCTTGTGGGTACAGGCATTATGGCAAGTGGCAGCAGTCACAGGTTGCCACATGGGAGGTTCAGGTTGAACATGAGGAATAATAACTTCACTTGCAGGGTGCTACAGAAGAACAGGTTGCCCCAAGGGGTGGACAGATCTCTGCTTGATGTTCATGACGTGGCTGAACGAAGCCACATGTGACCTGCTGTAGTGGTGATGGCAGTCCTGCTCCTCATGGGAGGTCAGACGAGAGACCACCAGGGTCCCATCACCATTTTGAGGATTCTGCGAGCTTGAACAAATTCCTTACTTTTTGCTATTTAATTGTTTTCCTCTTGGCCTTTACACACAGAGTGATTGGAAGAGGAGTCTCTTTGACAACAAGAAATTGAGGCTTTTGCATTTCTTTTTATTCAAAGGCAGAACAGAAAAGGCACTGTAAAATAGCTGACAGCCTGCATGGAAGGCTACTCAGTAATCTTGAGTTCCCAGACCTAAATTCTGGCCCAGCCAGTCTCACAACATTGCTGAGCTATCAGACCAGCTCCTCTGACTTGCTGGTTTCATCCAGAAATGCCATCCCAGGACTTGAAATGTTTCAGGAGAAACAGCTCATTTCCATAAAAAGTTTGTTTCAGTAAATCAGCAGTTCCTGCAAAAAAAGCTTTGTTGAAAGATACTCTGCCAGCTATGCTTTCACATGTGTTTGGGTTGGCTCAGAAGGAGGTAGCAGCTGGTTGGGATACTCAAAAGCTGCTGCATTTACCTGCTCTAATTGCTCATGCAGAAGGTGCTCCTAAGCCTTCCTTTGTTTTCAATGTCAGAAAAATGGGATCATCACTGAATGCTTCTCCAAACTATGGTGTTTTAATTGCTTGATCAGGAACTAGCACCTGGAGACTTTGCTTTCCATGATGTGCCTTGCTGGGCAGGAATCTGACTCTGGAGTTAATCATAATTGCTTGTGATTAGAAGGAAAGTTCACATGTTCATATGGACTCTGATGCTCCTGAAATTAGTACTAAGCCACAAGAAGTAGTCATAACCACTGACATGCTTTCTCTGCACCTCTTGCCTATGGTAGGAGACTTCAGGAGGAATATAGTGGGAGTATAAACACAATAAATACAGATTTTTTTTTAAAAAGTGATCCTTTGGTTTGAAATGCAATGAAGTTCTTTATTCCCTGGGTTTATTGTTGCTTGTTATATAGCATGCCTGTTGGATTTTGGATGTACAAAGGCACAGGAAAGAGGAGAAGACCTGGAAAGCTGTGCTTACTTGGCTTACTCAGTTTATTCTGTTCTGTTACATGTTTCAAGGAGATCCTTATTTTCTGTGCACTGAAGTGAAGCTTTTCCTTAAGTTCCACTGTGAGGAGGTGCATTTCTTATATCTGGAACAAACTGTAACAACAACTACAAAACCCCACTGAGTTCTGATAAGCACCAAGTCCCTGTTGTAAGTAAAGCATATGTTCCAGACAAAAAAGATCACTGGAAAAGAGAGAAAAAAACTGTGCAATAAACCAGGCAAACGCACTGGAGAGTTCAGGGAGAGCAAAACCAGATAGAAGTGTTTGGAAAAGAAAATATCTGTGAAAAAGTTGGTCAGAGTTGTTAAAAGGGCCAAAAAAAAGACAAGGGAAATGAGCTGCAAAGGGCTTGAGAAATACTGCTAAGAAAGGAAACAATCATTCCCTTTAATCAAACCAGAACAGATCAAGAAGCAATTCCCCCGGGAGCTGTGTAGTATTAGGCAAAGTATTTCATGTAACTTTTCATAACAATAACTAAGGAATGTAGCAAGCTCATTAAGGTTACCAGGAATAATTTCTGCCATCAGGAGACATCTGTAGCTTAATTAGCAATCCAGTTGAATGCAAGTGGATTTGGGCTCAGTTAAAAATCATTCCTCCTACAGCGAAGGGGAAGATGAAATAAATAATTCCACTACAAATGTCTTTGTACCAAAATGGTTATAATTCTACTGCAGTGAAACTGGAGAGGTTGCTCTAAAGACTGTCTCATTGTCATGAGCAAAGTGATTTCCAATTTCTTGCCTTGTGCCAGTGTTCTTTATAGCAGCATTGGGAGCTTCACTGATCTCTCTGAAACTGGTAACATTTTTTTTGAGAGACATCAGCAAAAGTTGTTCTTGGTTAACCAATGAAATGCTTAAAATTGCAGAGGGAAGACCAAAAATACCAGTATAAAAGAGGAATAGCTTGCACAGTTCACTGGTAGGGCTGATGGAGGGGGGGGAAACCAGGTGCAATTTTCAGTGTTCAGTGTTGATTTCCATCACAGTGTGAACGTTACATAGTCTCAGGACATTGACTGTTTTCCCAAGAAGAGAACTGGGAAGAAGTGTCAGCCACCCCTGCTTCTCGCTCCCAGTGGGTTTGTGGCTTCTTATATGTGTATTGGGATCTGGGGATACCACATTATCAGTTTCCTTGATTTTCACAGGGTGTATAGGCCAAAAGCCTGCCTTGTTGGTCTGGTATTTCCATTATGGAGCCAGAAGATATTCCTGGCATATTTTGTGAAGGTTTATAGGTACTACGAGAGATGGCATTTGGACAAAGCAGCGTCTACGGCTGCAGCAAGCCCCTCCCAGCATGCACTGTAGAGCTATGGGAAGAGGAGCATCCAACACAGCTTCCCTGTAGGAGAGGGCAGTGCTCTGCTGGGACTCTGTTTCTTGGTAAGTGGGGCTGGTATGATGTTGAGCTTGCTTCTGCAGGGAGAGATTTGGACTCCCCAGCAGCCTGCCTGCTACCAGTCCGACCTGGGAGCCTGGTTTGAACTCCTTGGGAGTGACAGACTGGCTAGACTGAGCTGTAAATACCACCTTTGAGGTTCAAAGCATGTGGGGGACCCTATGTGTCCCCAAAGGGAGGCTCAGATGGGGAACACCGTTGTTGCTTGCTCTTGAGTTTGTTATGAGCACAGTGACAATTGGTAGGCCTGTCCTACAGCTCCTGCAGCTAGACCTGGGCTTGTAGGATTGTTTCAGCCACTTAAAGGAGCAATGACCAGCAAGCAGCTTGCTTGAAATGAGCAGAAAGCTCTTAGGGCAGCTGAGAGATCTGGTTGCTAGGGGCCAAATAAGTTCATTGAAGAGAGCTGTTAACTATCTTAATCTGAAGAGAGCGGAAAGGGAGGAGGCAAGAGAGGTTTTCACAACCTGCAGTGGGGTTGGCAGTGCCTGCAGCTCCATCATCCAACTTCTCTCTGCCTCTGGAAAAGCTTCGGTGACACCTGGGAAGTCATGGCCTTCACAGCACCCCAAATTCCTGCAGAGCTGTCACTGCCATCCTGCCAGGTGAGCTTCTGACTGATCTTTACAGTTTTAGGTTGGGCATTGCTTTCCAGCATTTGTTTTCTTCCCTTTTTGCTCTCAGGAAACACCCATTATTTATTTTTCTCAGTGAGTCACCTCTGGCTGCCTTTGCCCTTTCCACGTACTTGCCTCACTTACAGCTATTTGTGGAAAAGGTGCGCAGAGGCACCGCCCTGTCACCATGGGCGTGTTTTACTTCTACCTTTGATTGCCTTGTCCTGTTGTTTAGTGTCTGATCACTTCTGTGAGGAAAATGGTTTTATGGGGAAAATCACATCCTGTGGGTGGGCTGAAGGCTCAGTGTCTCTCCAGGACTGCTGTGCTGCTGCAGCCCTACTCTGTCCCAGTCACAATGCAACAATCACCCTGCCTTTCCAACAGGCAGGAGGCTGGCAGAGGTCGGTGTCCCAGCTGGAGAAGGAGGTCCCTGGTGTTGGTTGGAGCAGTTGCTCTGTCCTGCACTGGCAAAGGCTCTGCTGGGCAAGCCCCAGTGATGTTCCCCATCTCTGCAAGCTGAGGAACATGGAGGAGTGGGAGACAGTCGGTGAGCTCTGCTCTGTGCCATCATGGGCAAGTGACAGCAAAGCAAGAAGAGGATTTGTAATCCCAGCCCTACAAGGTAGTGTTGGAACTGAGGTCCTCAGGGCTCACACCTATCTCTGCAGCTCATCACTAATGCAGGGTCATAGGCACTCCCCCTCTGCTGAAAGCTGAATATTGCTGCTGCCCCTTCTGTCTGTAGAGCGAATTTTCCTGCAAAATCCATCTGTCTGTACCTGCTTGATAAAAATGCTTCCTTTGTCACTGTAGGTCACACACTCTGCAGCTCACTTTTTTCATGACCTCTGCAGATTTAATTTCTTGCTGCTTTCTTCAGCAACAACAGCAGCACAATCCCTCAAACCTTTTCTACCCCTGGGGTTACTCTGAAGGATTTTTCCACTGGTTGTGTGTGGGACCTGCTCCCTGAGCTGTTTGGGGTTTTAGCAGCCTTGTTCAGGGGCAGTGGAGTTTTGGTGTTTCCACATGGGCCCAGTGCATTTCTCTGCAGTTTTTATTGCTTGGAGGCTGCCAGCAACCTGCACGAGCAGAGACCATGCTGGCCTGGAATGTGCGGCCTCCCCAGTGTATTAACCAGTGCCAGATGAGCTTCTCTAGCTGTTGTGGACTAGGTTCTCATCTAGCATAAACTAGTTATTTAATCACTGTCAACTAAACTAACAGCAGCCAGGCTTGGCTTGCAACTGAGCACAAATGTACATATCTTTTGGAAGGACAGCTTCATCTGCATGACTGACCAAAAAACCCCCATCCTCTTCAGTAAACTTAGCTCCTGTGCAGTGATTTTGAGAAGGTGACAGACCATACCCCTGACCATCCCTGCCACGCTCGGGGTTATGGCTACTGTACCTGTGGTTTGGCAGACATGCCAGACCTCTTCTTCAACAACACTGGCAAAACACTCCATTTGCCATTTGGTTTTAATTTTGACTGGATGTACAATTTGTGAAGGGAAGCTAATGCTTTCACACGTCTTCGTTAGTGCAGATGTGGGGGAAGCCTATGCCTGGACCTGCTCCAGCTCTCTGAGACAGTGACATGGAAGGTGGACTGCCTTCACTGGTCTGGGCATCAGCAGGTGCTGTAGTACAGGGCCGTCTCAGAACTAGAAATAATCTTCTCATGCCATGCTGAGGTGCTGCAGCAGTACACCTTACAAGAACCTGCTATGATTGCTGGTTCTGGTTTAGAGAGAAAAATGGTTCACTTCATTCTCTCAACACAGCCTCGTTAAATGAAAGGTGATTTGCGGTGTGGTGTAGGAAATGCTGAAGAGTGCAAACCAGATGTTGAAGATGATAAGAGACCCTTGCAGAAACATCAGAAGATGCTGTACCCTTCCCATCACTCTCCTCAGGCCTGTGGTATTGTGAAACTTATTGCTCTGGTATTTGCTGTGTTCATATGAGAAAGGTGGCATCTCAGTGGTGTTCCTCCAGCTGCTTACAAGCAGGCTGGCTCATTCTGCCTCCAGCTCATCTTGTGATGGCACACCAACGGTGCAGGAAGGGGTGAATGGTACTTGCAAGGGAATGGAAAATCATCTCATTGCTGCCCTGTTACCAAACCAATGTGGGGAGCCCTTGCTCCTCCTCAACTCCCCCCTGTGCTTTTCAACCACACAACTCACAGTTTGTGGCATAAATGGTTTGTGGAGCTCAGTGGCAGTTTCGTATTGATCCGCTCTTTCCAGAGCTGCCTGCAGGTTGATCAGTCCCTCTGTGGACAAGCAAGCAGCTGTTAACCAGAGGAGATGTTAACCAGCCCTATTTCTGTTGGTAGAAGCCTCTGTTTAATCACAGCTTGTGTTCCTCCTTTGGTTATCTATTATTCCAGTTAGGTACCTTCCACTCCCTCCTGTCGATTAAGGATGTGAGGCGTGTACCATGTGTGCCTTTGGGCTCCCACTGTTAACATTGTGTTCAGTTCATGCATTTGCCAAATGACTCTGAGTACCAAGTTTCAGTTTTTCCCATCTGCATGTCCTTGGCAAGTACTGCACTTTCCAGGGCTTCAAGAAATCAGGCCATAGGTACCTTCTGCTTACTCATGACTCAGCTGTCCAATTTTCCCACACAGTCACTGGTGAGCACAGATGCAGCTGAGTGTTTTCTCCTGACACTTTGCTATCATTTTCATGTGCTACATCACAACAAGCACAGCTAGTCCCCCTCTCTCCTGGCTTGCAGGGTTTTCCTATGCTTTCAGTTGTAGCCTTTAAGATCATGGCTAGGTGAGGCTTGGCCTGAGCCCCCTGTGGCTTACAGAGTGGGATGCTCCTGATAGCAAGCAGAAACCTGGGGTACAAAGACCTGATGGAAATGCCCATGGGTGGACATCCTGTGGGGGCTGAGCTCACAGTGACACAAGCTTTTCCTGTCTATAAGTATTTCTGCCTTCTGAGTGAGATTCACTGGCAAGATTATGAGTTTCTCTTGCAATAGCTGAGCTTCATGACCCAGTTTGATACCCTACAGCAATGTGCAACTTTTGGAAGCCCTCAACTCACAAAATCATTAAGGAGAGGCATCTTTGTGCATTTTAGAGATGGCCTGTACATTCACTGGCTGGTAGAAGGTTTGTTTGTTGTTGTTTTTCTTAAGAAAGGAACCTTTTTGTTCATTGAAAGGTTTTTAATAATTTATCAGTTTAAGGACTGATAAATTATAATCAGTTAGGCACATAGTTGAGGACCAAATAATGGCTTATGCAAATGCTTCAAAATCCTCAAGTGAAATATAAAGCATTTGTTAACTCTTTTTTATTCATTTGTTAACTCTTTTTTATTCATTTGTTAACTCTTTTTTATTCATTTCCTTAGTAAAATGTAAGTCTGGGAGCATCGTCCAGAACACTTACATGACTGAAGCTCAGTAAGCTGCAGGTTTGGTTTTGGTTGCACAACCTCATGTGCTGTTCCCAAGACAGAGAAACCTGAAATCTAATTAAGACAGTATTATTCTTTCTGAAGAGCTGATTTGAGGGATGAGCTGAAGGCTCTGCAGAGCCTTCATTCTGTCCCTTCTCCTGCTTCCTCTTGTCAAGGTAGCCCTTTGTCAGTTGACCAGCCCCATCAGTGAACCTGTTAAGCAGAAGTTCAGCTATCTTGGCCAAAGCCTTACTGATATTTCACATAGAAAGAGTTTGTTAGAGAAGTCCTCAAGAAACTAATATTGAGCTCTATAAATAGAAAACAGATGGCTCCAGTTTCAAGTGGCTAACTGGTTTTTAACTAGTACAGTAACTAATGTTCTCATATACCTAGAAAAACATTACAGTTTTATCTTTGCAAAGATCAAAAGAACAACTTTGAAGGACTTGCCAGGCGCACACAGCCATGTGTTTTAATAGATGACAGACGTAATGTATCCTTACAGTAATGGAACTGACTTGCTGATTTCAAATTCCCCCCTGTATTCCTGCAGTGAATAATGCCTAATGACTGCTCTGGTTGTGTTTTGTTTTTTTTTAATTTTATTACTACTACTGTGGACCTAGTGTTGCCTCAAACATAGTGCAGATATTAAGAGAAGTCTGCAAGTCTCTAAGAGAGAGCCTGGTAAGGAAGTATTTCATGAGTAGGAAGTCTCTGGAGCTGCCCAGGTCTCCTCAAGTGTCTATGTCAGTGTCCACCACTGTTTAGATTAGTCTGCTTACTCATGAGTGTCTGTTTTAATTTCCAGAAAAATACAGGGAGAAGACAAACCATAGCATGCCTGACATAGATTTGCACAAGAGGGCTCTGCGCTACAACGTGGTCTCTCCGACAGGTTGTATTTATGATGTCTGAGATGACTGAGCCCACGGGAACCACAATGCTGCCTAGCAGCAGGTGGAAATGTTGTGTGCCAGCTAGTGCACACTCCAAAAACTAGCCTCAGTTGTACAATTTATTCCGAAAACTGTTTTCCAGTTGTACAATTTATTCTCACAAACTGGAATAAACCTTTCAAAGTCCACACTGTTTTAGAGTTACAGTTGAGTTAAGGCTTGCTCCTATGCAAGTTGCTGACTTTGCTGAGTTTGCCTGCACAACAGCTGCTTCTACTTTCCACAAACACTAAACACTGGTTTACAGTCTGTATCGCTTCACTGCCTTGCTGCTCTGCTCTGTAAGTCAAATCCAATGCTAATGGAGGGGAATGCTGCTGTGCGTGCCATGACTCTTGGCCCCTTTTACCTTACTGAAACTTGGCTTCCCAGGATATGGGCTTCTATTTTGTTTCCTGGTTTGTGTGTTACGTGAATGGTTGTTTTTAGGAAGTCTAATCTTTTACTTAGCTTTATTGAAAAGCATATTTTTGGCAGTGGAGAGGGAAATGTAAGCACAGTTAGGAAATCTCTGGATCCAGTAATGATACCCTTCCTCTGCATTCCCCACCAAAACAGGCTAGAGCTGAGTTTCTAGGAGCCCTGTGTATGAATGACAATGTCACCACCAAAAATTGTGCAAAAAATCTGTGGCAGGGATATTTTCCTTGAATTTCATCTTACCCATTAGACCTTAATGTATCTCCCGCAACAAAGAGAGAAGGAAAGAATGTCAGCTTTCTTTTGGTAGGTAGATGTATGGTATGGTAGACATAAGCGACATCAGCAACATCAGTGACATTTGTAATGTGCTTTAAGAATTAGACAACACAGTCCTACTGCAGTCACAACCAAGACAGAGACTTGGGCAAAATTTGGGATCCTGCTGCCCCTTCAGACATGTGAGTGTTTAGCATTTAGTTTTCGGGTGTTCCACATACAACTGACACTGATATCTGGACGCCCTAGGGTTTGGATGCCACAACTCCGGTTGGACCTCTATGTCTGCTTCTGAGTATGCTCAGGATGTCTCAGCGCAGCTGGTACCAACCATCTCTGACAGTGTCCTGTGGTTAAGCTCTCGTTCATATCTTCTCTGCCCACCTTTTCTACACAGCTTAATCCAGTTCCTAATCATCTAGCTCCTGCAGAAAGCTTGTCCAGAAGCAGCATCTCATTTTGGTTTGTATCTCAGCTGTAGGAGCATTTACAAAGGTTTAGGGAGCCCTTGGATTAAAAAAAAAATCCCCTCTGCTATGAAAGTGGAGCAGTCATGGTGTATCTGCCTCAAAATTCTGTATGTGTCCTGCTTATTGTAGGAAAAGGAGCAATGGTGACAGCTTGTCTTGGCAATTTCCCTCTGTCACAGCCCTCTTGGACAGAAGGTTACAGCTCTCTGGAGCCAGGCAAAGCCAGTGTCTCTGTATGGAGAAGCAGACTCGTTGTGCTGCCCACTGAATGTGCAGGGCAGATTAGATGCATGTGACTGTAGGGATCCAGCTCTCAGCTGCTTTCCCACTGGTGGGGACGGGGATCTAGGTGATCTTGTTGCCTCTCATCTGCCCCATTTTCTGGCTTTCTGCTCTGGAGGAGAGGAAACAGAACAAGGAGGGTGCAAACCCTGCTGCAGACAGATGGCCCTGAAGCCTTGGCTATCTGATTTCCCCTTTAAAATGCACTAGAGGTTCATCTAATTGCAGAGTAAATACACCACTAAAGGCACAGCTTTATCTACAAAGTTGTTTTCTTGCACACCAGAAGTTATAGGGAAAAGCAAGTGTGGGAGGGGAAGGAAAACCTCTGACTGAACTCTGGAGTGGGAAGTGCAAGACTTTAAGGACAAAACAGGACAGAGATAGCTCTGAGGCATGGTAGTGAGCCTCTCGTTTCCCCATGCCTTCAGGGCAGCTGGGCTACGCCTTTTGCTCCACCTTTGAATTCCAAAGGATTGTGCAACCAAGTGTAGTGTGGTTGCACCAGGCCAGCAACTCCCCCATCCCTGCCTTCCCTGCTGGAGGTGTCCTTCACTTCTGACAGGTTCCCAGGGAGGTTTTAGTCTTCTCTAGATGGCAAGAATCTGATCTGACTAATGCTGTCCTTCGGAAGACAAAGGAAGATCTAATAGTCATTGCCCATTTCTTTATTTATTTTGGGTATTTCCTGGTTTCAGTGTTGTACAATATTTACCAAAGACGAGCAGCCAAAGTAAACCACAGGAATGAAAAATTGCAAATGAAAGAGCCAACCTCACGGCACAGTTGATCCCTTGCCTCCGAGTGCTTCAGTCTTTTCGGATTAGGTGCTCATTTGGTGTTCTCCTGCAGGTAGGCTTATAAGGAATCACCTTGGGACAAACATGCCTCTATAGGCAGCCACCAGCAGAAAGCTGAGGCAGGTCTGGAAAGACTCTCTAACAAGAGGAGGGATTAATGTGCCTGCTTGTTAACTTTGGCAGTGTGTGTAGTCGTTGTGCCAGCAGTTAGGGAGAGCAATTGGAGAGGGATTATTTTATGACTGGTGGCGTTCCTGGGGGATGGGGGGGACCATGGGGCTGGGGGCCTTCCTACAAGGAGTAAAAAGCAGAGCAGAGCACAAAGCGATGCCTTCATGGACGGCAGGCTGTTTAGACACAAGGAGCCAAAACAGATGGAAATGTTCCCTGGCCCCTTAATCCAGTTGCAGACCTGACTCACCCAGACTGAGTTACTGGTATCAATGTTGTCCTGTTACTTGGTGAGAAGTTATGAGCTCACAGGTTTCTTGTCCAGCAAACCATCTTGTCGGCTCCTTGCTGAGTTCCCCCCTGAAAAGGAAAGGGCTGCCCAGCCTGGATACAGGATTTCTCCACCTGCAGAAACAGAGAACAAGCCAAACTCATTCACAGGCTGTGTTTCATCATGACAAATGTGAGAAATACTTATTTTACAGAAAAGTTTAGACCTCTGAACAGTAGGGGAGGAGAGTCCGGCCAGCCTTCACTTCATCCATCCCTTCTCCCATTACTCATTGCATTTTTGTTAGTGACTCTCGAAAGACTCTATTCAGCTGGAAGGCTTTGCAAATATCAGAGAGGACACTGTCAGAGGGAAGCATGGAGACGCTGGAGAGATGACCAAGAAAGATTCCTCTCAACAGCGGATTATGCATCTCAGTATGCTTTGCTTGGGCTTTTGGTGCTGGATGTTAGCTGGGAACAAAGAGTTCAAGGATTAAAACACAGAGAAATAAAGTACTCTGAAGGCTGATTTTAAGGGAAATTTGTTGAAACTATTAATCATGGAACATACAGGAAATTAATGTCAAATGATGTCATAAAAATAGCACATGAAAGAAGTGCAAATGTAACATAATTTCTATAAATAGAAAAGAATATTTATGCTGACACTTGTGTAAGTTATAAGATGAAAACAAACCAGGTGGCCAGTCTGTTGGGTAAAAGTTCTTAAACACTGGATAATAAGACCCAAAGAAACAAAGATCTTCTTGTGTTCACAGGTGCAAACTTCATGGTGTTAAGTGTTGAAGGAATATGGCCTGAACTGATCAAAGGTAAGAGGGTGCATCTAATCTGTTGCTCTTTCTCATAGTAGAGCAGATGTAAGGTAGACAAATTCTATTACCCTATGGTTATCTCTGAACCAACTTATTCTAGTCCTGTAGTTGCAGCTATGGAGATGGAAGTTGGTTTTTTACCTATATTTTCTTTGATTCCTCTTCGTTTGACAATTTTCTGTCCAAAAGCTATGAACTGCAGAGCAAATTACTTGAAAGCATGAGTTACCATGCATCCTACACTTATTAGAGATCTACAAAAGTCTTTTTAGTATTACTACAACCCTCTGTTTGAATCTTCATGTAAGTTTCTTGCTTGGTCTCAAGTGAAGAGCAGGATTTTTTTGGTTCTCTGTTGCCCTGCACTTGTAATTACCTATTGCACCAGGGGTTTAGTCTCTGCTGGAGTTCCTAAGTCCTGCTAAAAGGCTTACAACATCAGCAGTGTTTCTGGCCCATCACTGTTGAAGTAATGGGAGCTTTCTAGAAAAGGACTGTTCCCTCTCAAGTCCGTGCCTTGCTGCCCAGCCTGTAGTCTCTTTCCTCAGTTGTACACCATGACCAGCCAGAAACCGCTGGGTTGAAACAAAACCTGAAGAAAGCAAAGCAAAGCAAAGCATTTCCCATCACAGCTGTTGACTGAATCCACCCCTGTGGGTCAGCGTGGGACAGCATGCTCAGCTGCAATGGGGTTTGCCACAGCCATCTCCTGGCCATCCCGGCCATACCTCCATTGCCGCAGCACAGCCATGCTCTTCGTGGCACATCCAGGTAACTCACTTGGGATGTTACAGAGGAATTAAACTCAAAGTTGAAAATAGTAGAAAACACCTTGGTTTTGAGGTTGATCCCCTGGTATGGTGTGTTTCTTTCTGTAGGTACTCTGCTAAAGACAAAAAGCTGTCTTGCAGCCCAGGCACAAATTACATGGCCTTTTCTGAATCTGTCATTACTAAGCTGGTACTGTTATACTCAAGAAAACCTACAGAAGAGCAAGGAATGCAATCTGAGGATAATTTAGGAGGAATGATTAAAATAGCTGAGTGTGTGCTTGTAAATCAGCTTGGAATGTCTGTTTCCAATCATGTTCAAATTCAGAAAGTTAGAGAATGGTCAGATATTGGAAATATCTTATTATTTGAAGATGGTTTAGTGGCCTACCAGGGACCACATGCACTTTTCAAATACTTACTGACATCTTTTTATACTTAGGCTTTTCATTTTTAGTAAAAATTATGTTTTCATGGGTGTTTACAACTCTGTTATAGTCAAAGTTTGTTTAAAAAATTATACAATTGCAAAAGAAGACAATAGAAATAATCTCTGCAGGAAACTCACAAAACATGTAATTTTTCCAGTGAAAAAAATCTAGGAAATAGTGCATTAGATTTTTTTCCTTTTTTTAAAAAATATGGGGCCTTGATAGGCTATAAATCCAGAAGAGTACCTACACTGAAGAAAGACCTTCTGAGATCTTGAATAACTGGAAAAAAAAGATTTGAAATTTACTTGTTTTCTTTTTCTGAAATCCATTATCATGTCTGAAATATTTCATGACATCAGATACAGAGGGAGGCAGTAGCTGAATGCAAAGCCTAAACTACCTGTGCAAAATACATCCTGAGATTGTCTTTTCTGGAATGAATACAAAATCTTGATATTTTAATGGTACATGATAATGATCTGCTTCATTTCCTCCTCAGATTCTTGCCCAACTGTTAAACACGATTTTTTTTTTATAAAACAAGCAGTTAAATATGTATCTCTGCATCCCAGCAAAGTGTTTTCCACCTCTGTACAGGAAACAAACTCTAGCTGTTTCTGCAATGACTTGGTCCCGTTCCCAGGAATGTTTCCCTTTCCTTAAAAAAAAAAAAAAAGAAAAAAAACCCACAACACCAAAAACACTGGAAAATGAAAGCATTTTTCCCAGAATATTAGCACTAGATAGGCATAAGCAAGAAACGTATCCATGTATTCCTCTGAATGAGGCCAGACAAGGTTTGCTGAACCTTTCCCACCCTGAAATGCACTGAAATGACACATGCATGTCCCTTTGCCCAGCCTCCTTTGAAGGAGCTTTTACTTGGAGCTGAGCGAAACTTTTTTCCTCCTGATGGGAAATTCCATTGCCAGGATGCTAAACCCTAACTTCCTCACAACGGCCTGCCAGTGATGGCTTGCACCCGGTGGGCCATGACAGGGTATTTTCTCTCCTGGTGAGCTGAAATGAAGCAGAAGCTGTCCAAACACTGAGCGTAAGACAATCCATTCCTCTCTCTTCATGACCCCCTCCCCCTGTAGCCTGTGCCTTGTAAAGTACTTGAGGACTCCAACCCTGGGGTACCTACAGCAGCCCCGATGGCCGGGGATGCACTGGGGGGACAGTGCTGTCTCAGCATAGGCAGGTTTGGTGCTTGCAGGCAGGCCAGAGCCATAGTGTTTTCTGTGGCTCTGCCCAGAAACCTGCAAAATCTTTGTTTGGAAATAGGAATGGCACCTCTTTTTTTTTTTTTTTTTTTTTAAACTGGAAATGTGGTTTAGGTTTCCTAATACTTCTCTGGGCAGCCCATAACAGATGGGCTGTCTTATAGTCTGGGGTACAGCAAAGCAAACTAATCAACACAAAAGAGTGAGATAGATGTAGCGCAAAGAAAAAAAGTCCTTTAAAATACTCTGTGAGTGGTACTTGGGAAAGCTACATAGAGGTATTTCCTGAAAATCTCTAAAAAAAATCTTAAGAACTAGCTTTGTGCATTGATAATGTTGAACCAATTAACAGCATGAAAATTGCAGAAAATATTTTAGAAGAAAATATGATTTCCAGATTATGCCTGTTTTTAGGGGATGAATCCCCAGTGGCAGCAAGCTGGGTGCCTATCTGCCCAAGTACATTTGGGTTGCCCTCTGACATCCCAGTACTGTAACATGTATGTTTCAGGTTTCTGAGTTCCACGGCTTGATTAGGCTTTCTCTGGAGTGCCTGTGGAAATCCAGGACTGTGAATATGGGAAGTATAAGAAAAGCTGCTCTGAGCAGTGTGGGTCTTGGGTACCTGCCTCCACATGTGGTTTCTATCCCTGTATATCTTCTCTGGGAGCTGGATCCCTTCCAAAGGGATGCAGGAAGCTCTGGGCGGTGCTCAGAGGAAGTTATACTCAACCAGATATATTTCCAGACAGACCTCTCCAACACATGCACTGAGGAAGATGATCAGTTGTTGGCATTGGCTTTGTATCTTGCCTTACACTCTGCAGCATGCCAGGGAGCCCCATGCCAGACACTGGTGCCATTGATCCGTGTGTGTCCAGCGTTTGTGTGTGGCTGAGCTACTCATGAACATGTTTGTTCATGGCGTCCAGCCCCATGACAGCTGGAGGAGTGACCTGCAATAGTTGTGGGGACCCGTTCTCTGTGAGTTGTCTCAGAGTTCTCATTTTGGAGTAACAAATCTGTGCAGTGATGATAACGGGATTTTGCGTGTTTGTCATAGTGGTCTTCAGAATAGGGAGTCAATACTTGGGTTTTTTTTACTTCGTAGTAATGGAAAATGTATTTACTATGTATTAATGTAAAATCATAATGTTCCTGTCAGAAATAAATTTGTTCACTCCACCTAAACTGCAAAATAAGAAAGAAACTGCATCATCCAGCTTTGCCTTGCATGTAGGCTGCTTTCTGTTGATGCAGTTTCCTTGAGAGTCAAGAAATCATCAGGAATACTTTGGCAGAAATGATGTATTTTCTTTTGTTGAGTCATGCTGAGACAACTGAAACTTTCCATATTATTAGAATAAGCTTTGATGTCTTAGCCTGCAAACTTCCCTGCTAGCTGCACTTTGGTTAAGGCAGAAAATCAGTGTCATGTTTTTCTGACTGGATATGATAAAAAAGATATTATAAAAATAAAAGAATATGATAAAAATAAATCAACAACTGCTTCCTTGGCAGAGGCAGTCCTGTAGGTTGGCTGTTGAATGACTAACCAGTTACACAGAATTATCTTGCTCTGCCACAACTGCATTGCCTAGAAGAAAGGATTGCCCAGAAGAAAAACAAAGGAAATCAGCTCCTTTGAATTTAAACTTTCAGTCTGAAGATATAACCAGGGGATTGAGCAGCTGGCAGGGTAGGCCTGATATGGAACATGACAAAGTTAAAATAGTTTATTTTTCATTATCATGTTCCTTTTAATTTTAGTTTGAAAAGGAATACCTGAAGCCCTGCAAGTCATATTAAAGCACAGGCACCACCAGTACATGTCAAGGCTCTGCTTCCAGGACTGTGAAAGGACGCCAAGCCATTCTGCTTTCAATTACGTGAATATTATACCTCCTGCTCCAAAGACTGGAGTCACAGATTTGACTTTTGGCTTTTCCTTGGTATCCATTTCCGGTGAGGATTAGGGTAAAAGAACCCCAGGTTCAGTCTGCCTGGCACCGCTGCAACCAAGCTGACACACTGACAATCCTGGTTACCAGGGGTAAGTATCAGGAATCAGTTTTGTGCTACTTAAAAAGATCTGGAATGCACCTCTGCTCATATCACAGACTGGTCAATGGATTAGTGCACTGCTTCCCTTTTCTGCTGCTTCTACTTTCTCTTTGAGGTGGGATGTTGCCTGACTTGGGGCCCTTCTGCACTGCTCAGTTGTTCTTTCTCAGCAGAAAAGCAACAAGCAGCTCTGAGTGTGGATACTGACACTGAGGAGGAAATAGAGGAAGAGAAAAGACAGGCTGCAGGATCCTCTCATGTGAGACTGGGGAGGTGATACTTAAAGGGTACAGCATGCCCACATACTGCAGAAGATGGAGCAGTCTGTACCTCTAGCTGGCAGAGGGGAGAGGGCTGCAGAAATCTAGCAACTGGAGTCCCATCGTAAAGTCATGCTTCCTGAGTAAAAAAATATATGCATAAAGAGAAGGCAGTGGGGATATAACAGTGAAATAATCCTTCTAACTCTGATTGTAGACTGACTGAGGACTAGTGTTGCCACTTGGTTTGTGGTTTTTGATCAATGAGTCCATCCCTATGTGGTTTGGTCCCATATATACACACACACAGAAAAATATATATATATTTGTTTCTACATTTATTTTGGTCAACACATTTAATATAGCCCTCCCTCACTGGTTGCTGCCCTCTCTCACAGCAGCAGTCTACTAGTGGAAAAGGGTTGTGGCAAAGGAGCAGTTTGCTGATGGAGAAGGGTTGTGACAAGAGCCTGTCCCTCTGCCAGCAGAGCCAGTGCAGGGACCTGTCACTGAGCAGTGGGAAGCAGGGATGCTGAACAGTTTGTAGGTGGGGATCAGGGAAGAGCTGGCTGAGAGAAACATCTACTGCTTTTGCTGCTGTTGGATAAACAGAAACATTTAGAGAAAGATTCAAAAATGATGACCACATCTCTATCTTAGCCTTACCTACCTGGTGGCAAAGGCTTGTGTGGTGTCTCTGCTTGGAAAACGTGCAGTTACAAAAGCTCAGGCTTGTTGCAGATCTGTGCACTTCCGTTGGGAAAAAGTAATGTAGTTGAAGGCATGTGATTTTTTTTTTTAAACATTAAAAGAGGAAGGTTAATCATAGCTTAAACTTGGAGGAGGAGAGAAAGCACCCACAAGGTACAACTTTGTTCAATGCTGAACATGCAGTTATTCTGGAGAAAAAGCAGATGAAGGGTATTCTTACCTTAAAAGACAACAGCTTTCTCTTACTTTGGACTCTTTGATTTCAAAAGAAGTTTTTTTGAGTCATGCTGCAGTTCAATGTGGAAACTGATGTTCTGGGAGGCAGGTGATTGGTACCTTGCCTCTTTGTGGGGGGCAGCTTTGTGGAGGGCATTTCTGGCCACCTTGAGCATCCTCGGACCCTCCTGACTATGAATAACATGATAAATCCTGATAAATTGACCTAGAATGAGAGAGAGAGAGAGAGAGACAGAAGTTGTGCTGCTTTTAGACTTTTTTTCCTACGAAGGGAAACAAACAGAAGGCCCACGCAAATTTCTTGGCTTTTTAAGCAGCTTCATGAAATGAACTGCTTGGTTTGTGAGTTGTGACATGGTCACATCCATCTTCTCTTTCTGAGAGAAACCTAGCCCAGTGTACAGCCATGATGAGAGCTGGCTAAGCCTGGATGTTAGGAGAAAGTTGTTACTTCTGAAAAAACAGGCAGTTACCTCAACTCTCCCTGAATGTGTGGTGAAGAAGCTGTAACAAATAGAAGAGAGTGACCATTTCACATTCAGTGATGTACGTGGCCTCATTGATGGTCTCCTTCTCCAAAGCTCTTCACAAATTGAACTAAAAATATTTAACTTTATTAAGGAGTTGCAATTTTAATGACAAAAATATATAGTCTAATTGAACCCTGAATTAACACGGTGAAAACTGAAAGTCTTCCCTGTTGAAGAACAAGAACCATTTCAGCTGAGAGGTGCTAGAGGGAAGAGGTAGCTTTGGGGAAGTTGAGGACATCCCTTTACGTAACGACCATTTCCCTTCTTGGCTGTGCCTCATAGCTGCTTTGCCTCTGTTTTACAATGTTGTTATGCTTATCAGCTATCCTCTTTTTTTTTGAAAAGCGACGAGTTCTTAACCTAATGTGCAATGCTTATGTCAGTGCAGGACTGAAGGTTGCTAGGCACACTTGGGCTCTCCGTGGGCTGTTGAGCACAGAGGTGCTGCTGTGGGCCCTCTGACATATGGCAGGAATCAGTCTGTCTGTCTGTCTGCTCTCAGGCAGGTACTTCTTGGTGCAAGACGGCAGCAGACTGTGACAATTTCTGACCACAGGAAACAAAGTGGAAACAGCAGTAGGAATGTTTGGTGTTTGAATTTAATTGATTTCCCTTTCAGAGCTGGTAGGAAGAATCCCTCCCCCTTTATGTAAACAGCATGCTTGGCTATTTTACCAATTCTATGTTTCTGTTCAAACCTCCTCTCTCAAAATTACTTTTAATGTTTGCAGAGGGATGCTTTCTTCAAATTGTATCCTGTGTTTCAGACAGAATATCATTCCCATTCTTACACATTTTCTGTTTGTTGACAGCATATGACTCCAGTGTTTTAGGAAATTAAATATGCTCAGTGTTTCTCTAGTACTCTCCTTGGCTAAACATTTTGACTCCAACACTTATAGCACTATAATATATGTATCACTCTATATATTGATAATATTTTACAGAACTTACACAATAATAACTTTGTTATGCTGAGATGTTCTGTTGCCCAGCACAGTAAACAACGTCCCAGTGCCTACCAAACAACAAGTATTGAAACTAGAGATACGGAGAGCATGCAGTTCTGCCTAGGAACTATTTCTGCACTTAATACTGGAGGAAGTGATTATGAAAGGATGACTTGCGCAAAATGATTGAATCAGCCTTTCCAGCAAAGGAGTTGACTGACAAAAGGAGAGAGACTGACACTGAATTTCAGCTTGCAAAGCTGAATTTCATCTTGCAAAGAAGAGAAAGCAACCACAGCCTGTGCTCATTTTTGTGTCCCCAGTCAGCTGCAGCAATAGAATTGGTTGAAATGGGAGTTTGAAGGGCACGCCTTGCATGCCGGGCAATCCTGAACTCTTCAGAAGCCCTGATTTCCTTAGGGGAGCCTCCACTAAAGAGAAGCCGTGCAAACTGGTACGCTTCACTGACTGAATAGTTAAAGGACGCTGGGAAACTGTGAACATAAAGTTTTGTTTGAGAACAGGCTGAAATATTTTGTCGCTTCAGGACTGTCGCCTCATCTGACCTGCCGAACATTTCCACCTTTGCGTTTACAGGGATGAGGTGACCGTTCAGATGCCAGAATGCATGATCGGCACATGAGGAGAATAAAGTACAGCACACAGTACACAAGGTAAGTACTTAACCTCTGCTTATTCGGGGTTTCGGGATACTGTTGGTCTGTAGTCCTGGAGCTGTTTACAGTTAAAATTTGTGAGCGTCACAATGGTGACCTGTTCTTTGGTCCCTTTGGCATGAAACACAGCCTTTCTTTACTTTAAAATCAGTCTTTTTCTAATTACATCCAGTGTTTATAGGGTGACGGTAACATCCAATTCCCATCCATTAATGGTGTTGTTTTACAGAAAAGAGTGATAGACTTGTTTCATTGCATATCAGCTTGTTCTGCCTTTCCAGCAAAGAATGTAAATTGCTTGCACAGTGTACAAAAGGGTGTGGCAGTAGTCTATGCAACTCTGCTTTTAGAAGCACTGAGGCTGGTGAGACTCTGTGCCAGGAACACCCAGATCCCTTCCAGGAAACTGTGGTGTTGGAAGCCATAGCCCAGTCAAAGGGCTGGAAGGGGGAACATGCTGTCTTCAGGCTTCTGCCTGCCAGGTAGCCATTCAAAACGGGCAGGTTGACGCTGTAAAGACTGTGAGCATTTGGAACCATAGAATCACAGAATCACTTTGATTTAAAAAGACCCTTAAGATCATTGAGTCCAACCATTAAGCAAACACTGCCAAGTCCACCAGTAAACCATGTTTGTAAACACCACATCTACATGTCTTTAAAGTACCTCTGGGACAATGACTCCAATGACTCCACCACTTCCCTGTGCCAGTGCTTGACCACACTTTCTGTGAAGAAATCTTTTCTAATATCCAATTAGATTATCCAATTGTCACTTCCCCTGGTGCAACTCGAGGCCATTTCCTCTTGTCCTGTGACTTATTACCTGGGAGAAGAGAGAGACCCCCACCTGACTACTGCCTCCTTTCAGGTAGTTGCAGAGAGTAATAAGGTCCCCTCTGAGCCTCCTGTTCTCCAGGCTAAACAGCCCCAGCTCCCTCAGCTGGTCCTCATAAAACTTACTTTTAGCAGCCTCATTGCCCTTCTCTGGAAATGTTCCAGTACCTCAATGTCTTTCTTGAAGTGAGGGGCTTAACTTAACAGGATTCAAGATGCAGCTTCACCTGTGCTGAGTATAGGGGAACAATCATTGCCTTGGTCCTGCTGGCCACACTATTTCTGATACAGGCCAGGATGCCACTGGCCTTCTTGCTCACCTGGGCACACTGCTGGCTCACGTTCAGATGGCTGTCAACCAGCACCTCTGGATCCTTTTCTGTTGGACAGCTTTCCAGCCACTCTTCCCCCATATTGTAGCACTACATGGAGTTGTTGTGACCCAACCACAGCACATGGCACTACACTTTGTTGAGCCTCATACCATTGCCCTCAGCCCATGGATCCATCTAATCCAGTTCCCTCTATAGAGCTTCCTTACCCTCCAGCAGATCAACACTCCCACCCAACTTGGTGTTGTCTGCAAACTGACAAAGTGTGCACTTGATCCTCTTGTCCAATTCATTGGTGATCTAACCATCTTCCCCCGTTTAGGGCTGAAACATTCAGTCGTAGCTTCTTTGCTGACAGAGATGAAAGAGGCAAGAGCCATAGTCAGCATGCATATGAAAAGGTGGGGCTAAGAAACATCCTTTATGGCTGTTGAGATGTGATATGGCTGTACTCCAAAGATGAGCAGCACACCAAGTTTGTTTGCTTCACACTCGTAGCTGAAGTAGGAGAGGAAAACTGACATCACGGATAGCTCTTACAAATAAAATAATTGATCTGAGGTTACTAATAAAGTTGCACAGGATTTCAATAGTTTTCTGTTACTGTTCAACACTAAAATTTGACATTACTTTCTCTCCTTTCTGTTTCCTACAGCAAAATGTCCAAACAAAAAAAAAACAAATCAGGAACTACACACAGCTGGCAAGTGTGGGCCATCTACATGCTCTTAGCTGCAAACCTCTCTGAACAGCAAGCGCTGAAGCAGGCTTGTCCTTCATGCAGTGATGCTCAGCTTTGCAACTGCTCTTCCATGGGCTTGGACTTCATTCCCCCAGGGCTCACCGCCAAAATCACAATGTTAAACCTGGCCCACAACAGGATAAAGCACATCCGATCCCAGGACCTGCAGCAGGCTGTGAACCTGAGAGCCCTGCTGCTGCAATCCAACAAAATCAGCTCCATAGATGAAGACTCGTTTCAGTCCCTGGCGAAACTGGAGCTCTTGGACTTATCAAATAACAGCTTGGCTCACTTGTCCCCTGTGTGGTTTGGGCACCTTTTTTCGCTCCAGCACCTCCACCTTCAAGGCAATTTCTACAGAGACCTGGGAGAAAGCTCTCCCTTTTCTGGTCTGAGGAACCTGAGCTCTCTCCGCCTGGGCAACCCACAGTTCTCTGTGATAAGGCAAGGGAACTTTGAGGGCATTGAGCTTCTCAGCAAGTTGTGGATTGATGGTGGTAACCTCAGTCAGTATGAGCAGGGAAGTTTGAAATTGATTAAGAAGATAAATCACATGGTCATAAACCTAAGAAATATTAATATATTCTCAGAAATTGTTAGGGACCTTCTGCACTCTGTGACTTGGCTAGAAGTGAGAGAAATCAAATTAGCAGTTGAAACAAAAAGCTTGGTGCAGAACTCTACGCGCCCTTTTAGGATGCAAAAACTTACGTGTAAAGATGCTTTCTTCACAGACCAGTCTATTAGCCGATTCTTGGTATTATTGAAGGAAATCACCTCTTTACGAGAGTTAGAGGCAATAGATTGTGTGCTTGATGGGAGGGGTATATGGGACACTAAAGAAATTGCAAGCAGTGGGCAAAGTTTTGTTGAAACAATATCAATAATAAATGTAATGATTCAGAAATTTCATCTGTTTATTGACCTAGAAGGTATGGAGTCACAAATAAACAAACTGAAAAGACTCACTATTGCAAGCTCTAAAGTTTTCATGGTACCATGCAAGCTTGCAAGAAATTTTTCATCTCTTATATATCTAGACTTCAATGATAATTTGCTTGTAAATAATCGTTTAGATGAGACAATGTGCAAAGATGCCTGGCCTTCACTGCAAACATTAAATCTAAGTCAAAACTCTCTAAAATCTCTGAAACAGACTGCAAAATATATATCTCGTCTACCCAAACTGAATAATCTTGACATTAGCCAAAATAATTTTGGTGAGATTCCAGATGCATGTGAATGGCCAAAAAACCTGAAATATTTAAACCTCTCCAGCACTCAAATTCCTGAAGTAACGACCTGCATTCCCCCAACGCTGGAAGTTTTGGATGTTAGTGCTAACAACCTGAAGGAGTTTGGACTGCAGCTCCCATTTCTGAAAGAGCTGTACCTCACAAAAAACCAGCTGAAGACCCTGCCTGGTGCTGCACCCATTCCAAACTTAGTGGTCATGTCAGTCAGGAGAAACAAGCTCAACAGTTTCTCCAAGGAAGAGTTTGAGTCCTTCAAGAGAATGGAGCTGCTGGATGCCAGCGACAACAACTTCATCTGCTCCTGTGAATTCCTCTCCTTCATCCACCACCAGGCTGGGATATCCCAGGTGCTGGTGGGGTGGCCAGACAAGTACGTCTGCGACTCTCCGCTGGCGGTGAGAGGGGCCCAGGTTGGAGCTGTACACCTCTCCCTGATGGAGTGCCACAGGTCCCTCGTGGTGTCATCGATCTGCATCCTGGTGTTCCTGGTCATCCTCATCCTTGTAGCTGTTGGCTACAAGTACCACGCGGTCTGGTACCTGAGGATGACCTGGGCGTGGCTCCAAGCCAAGCGGAAGCCCAAGCGAGCCCCGCCAAAGGACATCTGCTATGACGCTTTTGTCTCCTACAGTGAGAACGACTCCAACTGGGTGGAAAACATAATGGTGCGGGAGCTGGAGCAGGCCTGCCCTCCCTTTCGCCTCTGCCTCCATAAGCGGGACTTTGTGCCCGGGAAGTGGATAGTGGACAACATCATTGACTCCATTGAGAAGAGCCACAAAACGCTCTTTGTGCTGTCTGAGCACTTTGTGCAGAGCGAGTGGTGCAAATACGAGCTGGACTTCTCACATTTCCGCCTCTTTGATGAGAACAACGATGCGGTGATTCTTGTCCTCCTGGAGCCCATCCAGAGCAAAACGATTCCCAAGAGGTTCTGCAAGCTGAGGAAGATCATGAACACAAAGACCTACCTGGAGTGGCCTCTTGAAGAAGAGCAGCAGCAGATGTTTTGGGCAAACCTGAAAAGAGCCTTGAAGTCGTAGAAGAACTCAGCAGCTCCCATTTCAATGTATGTCTGCAAAAGGCTCTATGTCAGTGTTTCTTCTTGCTAAGAATTTTTTTTTCTTATTTTTCTCTCAAAATACAGCTGGCTTTGTTGTGTGTAGAAATAATTGTCATGTTACTCACTGAAAAAGGACCGCTTTTTGCTTTCCAGTAATCTGATTCTCTGGTCTTTCAAAATCTCTGCCAATAACTATAATATTTGGAAGCTATATTGGACTATATATACTTTTCTGAACACAATTAGCTGAGTGTATGGTATTTCTGTACTTTTTTCTGCTCTTACCACTATTCCCAACTCGTCTCTAACAATGCCACTGCAATTTACAATTTAAATTAAAAGCCAAGGACTTCAATCAATACTCTCCTGTGTCCATCTCTTCCTGTGAATGCTTGTTTGTCCCTTTGCAGTCACCACCATTTTCCCTTCTACCTACCCCCAGAGATAGCTGAAGCCTTCTATTTGTGGAGTATGAGCCTGTGTTTCTAATGTGTGGGCTAGATGGTGTTGCAGACTGTCTCGTTTCTTGGTTTTGCTCTTCTACTTCACAGAGCACATTTATGTAATCACTAGGCCATGAACCCCTTACTGCTCTACTTATCTTCCTTTCTAGAGGTTGAAGAAAATCACACTGACAAGAGGTAGTTCCTCTCTCTACTTCAGTATGAGACATCTCCTAGATCTACTGTATTGCTCTTCACCAATTACAGAGGGAGTCCAGACAAGCAGGTAGATACAGATGTTTATATTAGGATAGCTGGTCACACTCTGAGTGCCTGGATTTCTTGTGTTTTAGATGTTCTTATGGGAACCTGAAATTGTCTCTGAGGGGATTAAGTTAGGTGTGGTTTCTCTACCTTGGCACTTCCATGTTCCTCTTTGCTTGTATTGCTGGAGTTTAAGTAGAGGAGAGTCTAGATGAATTTTGGTTAAACTTTGGATATGCAATTATTTTGTGGTGATAAACCAAAGCATTGGCAGATGGGCTGAGCGAGTATTTGAAAAATAGCAAAATTTGCTTATACAGACATGTCTGTTAGTATACTTGTTCATATGCATATATATGTGTATGTGCTTATACATGTGTATCTGTACACATATCTACACATGAGATGGTAGTTTCTGTGGGTGTAGCCTGCAAACACCACTTTCAGTTCTACTTTCCTGTTATAATATTGTCTCTAGGGGCAGTCTAAAATCTGCTACAAAGGGTTTTTTTGCTCACTGTCTTGGAGAAAAATAGCTCAGTAGCTAATCAAGGCTGAACTCCAGGTAGGTGGTGAGTGAATCATCTGAGAGCAAACAATGAGCATTGATAAAACAGATTAGGAGACTGTGTACCTAGACGTAAGAAGGGAAGTAAGTCTTGCCGGTCATTACAAAGAGAGAGTCAGAGAGATGTAGGAGAAGCCTTAGTTTTCATATGGTACACTCGTACTATAGACCCAGGCTTTTTTGGATTGGCACATTTTAAAAGGAGTGATAGTGTTCCTGCTTTTATGCCAATCAGATCACCTAGGTGGGAATTCCCCTGCTCACATTATCAAGGTTTAAAGGTGAAGTGGAAATGAAACAGCAGCATAAGAGGAAGGTGGGTAAAGAATGATCAACAAGAGAGAGATGAAACACAACATGGGTTAACTGGCATGCAGGCACCAGAGCTGGAGCTGGCATCTCTGGGGATCTTTTCAGCAGAGAGGTGAGTTTTCAAGTAGGTGAAAGCTGGAGATGCAGGGAAAGACAGTGGAGCTGCAATGCCAGAGCAAGAAGCAAGGAGAGAGCACTGGGAAGAGGCTATCTCTGCATGGGGGTTTGACGGTGCTCAGGGCTGCTGAGAACGAGTGTGGGGTCGGGAGGGATTTCTGTCACCAGCAGAAGTGGAGCAGAGAGGTGCAGTCACAGGCAGCTGGCAGCTATGCATGGCAGGCAGGCAACAAAGAAGACTTGCCAGGAGAGCTGGGACATGCTGATGGGAGCAGTGTCCTTTGGGAAAGGGGAGAGAGGAGAGCAGCAAATGAAAAAGACAAATTGGGTCAGACTGTGTCATTTCTGCTCAATTTCCTTGGGGGAGGGTGCCTCGTTTGTACTTTGTCCTGTTTGTATGTTGTCCCACTTGTGTATTGATACCAGCTGCCCAGGGAAGGCTGGGTGTGAAGGTGGGCTGCCTTGGTTTCAACAATTCAACCAGGAAAGAGCTCACTGAACAATGGCCTCAGGACTTCAGCTACCTCCTCACCTAACTCGGACCTGTTGCACATTCTCTGTGTAGGAAACAAGAAGAGGCGTTTCCATGTATGTGTGTGGATGTGTGTATGCACACACATACTGTTAGGGCAGTGCTGGTGGGTGATAACTAGGGCACATGTAACCCACACACAACCAGGTGGAGAGCAGCAACTTTCCCCAGTCTGCTTGTAGTTTGACTCCTTCACCAACTGGTGACTATCCCACTGCAAAGTCCATAGCACTGCTCAAATTTACCACATTTACCTGGATAGTGCTCCCCAAGCTAGAATCAATTTATGCATTATTCGCACTTACATTAACCTTTTGCATTTGATAGCATTTATAGAACCTCATTCTGTTGTCAGTCATGGTTTTGTTTAAGAATATGCAAATATTTCCTCAAATATGTCTACTGACATGGCCCAGCAAAGACAGTCCTGAGCATGTCTAATGGCTTGGACCCTTTCTCCATAACCCAGAAATGTTTTGAATGTCTGGTTCATCACAGCATCTTATGGTATAATGGCATCTGTGCAAGTTTCTGTATTTTTAGTTGCATTTTAATTTCTTTGTGGCTTTTTAGTTACCAGCACAAGGGGAAAAAGTGATTCCTTGTTAGGGCAATGATATAGAACTGTATGTCTGAGTGGGTGTGGAAATGCCTGAATTGATCCTGTAAGTCAGGGTCTTAAGCAGAATCATTAGAGATGAATGGGAAGGGAAAGAGACTGGCTGAAAATTGAATGAGAGTGGGAATGGGATTTCTCTGAGTGTCTGCTCAGATAACAGATGAGCAAAAAACTGGAAAACAAGCTCACAGAAGCGACAATAAAGAAAAGCATCCTGAACCACCAAATGGAGTTTAGTCCTGCAGTCTCTGGATGGTTTCAGGCTGGTGAGGTGAAGAGCCATTAGGCTCAGCTGGTATTTCCTGGGCAGTACCTTCCCAGTTTCCTTCTGTGCTGCAATTTACCACCTATAAATAACCTTTCTGTAGATAGCTTTTGATTGATCAGGTCACCTGTTTGTTTCTTTTTCTAACAGTAAGCATTTTGATGGCAACATTAAATATACCACTTGAATTTGTTACTGATGAAACTCATGTTACCTGTAGCTTTGCTCCTGTAGCCTACAGCACCGTGTTATCCAGTTAGACTTGTGAGACCGAAAAAGAACACTCTAAAAGAGCCTCAGATGGACAGCAGATGAGTAACTACAGATTACAATTCTCTATGTGGTATTCACAAGGAAAATTATCTAGGTATCTAAACTATGGTACTCCATTTTAAGTCAATGGGGCAAATTCTCTTAGATTCATCACATCTTAATCTGGGTGTCTAAGATGTGATAAGAATTGCCCCCAAAAGACGTTATTTCTCCCCGTTGACTTTGGATGACATGGTGGATGACTAGCTCAGCTGTGGGCATCTAAAGACAGGGAAGACAACTGTGTCCTTCAAGATTCAAAGACAGAGACAAAAGGCAAATAACACAAGAGGTCAAAATATTTATAGTCCTCCAGGTGAGAAGAGATGGAATGATTGAAAAAATTATCCACAACTTTTCCTCCCCTCTCCATATGCTCAAACCATCTCAGTCAACTCTGCCACTTTTGAATAATCTTAAGCAACTATGGCTAAAAATAATGCAACTGGAAGGGCAGGACTTATCTATATGAACTTGTATGTGTGGGTCAGCTACTGTAAAACAAATCAGAATATTAAATCAAAGCACAGGAGATCTTCTGCACAGAGTCTCAGTGGGATGACAAATGGAGAAAGTAGTTCTCAGTGAGCCAGTCTAACCTGATTAACCCAATACATAGCTCACGATTTTGTGAACCTGTTCATTGGCCTCTTTGGGGTTGGTTCATTCTTTTCAACCTTGGTAAGATACCTACTGAGGTAGGGGGGGTTGTGACACACGGGGGAAAGTTATATTTTAAAAATGTTCTTTGATCCTTGTCAAAAAAGGTTATAATTCAATATGTAATAAGGGTTTTAAAGGGAAAAGAGCTCTCTCAGGTTTCAAAAATTGTTTTTCCAACTCCTCAGAAGGATAGAAGAGCTAAAGTCACCTTGTTGGAAGTAAGGACATGCTGGATATTGCAGCAAGTTCTGTAACAAAAAAAAGCCATGCCAAATCAGTACTATAAAAGGCACAACTGTGAGAGGAAAGTGAAGTGACACAGGATCCACATCTGTGTACCTTTTCTTGAATCATTTCAGTCCAGAAGATCAGGAATAGTCTGTGGGGCTGGAAAAAGCTATCTAGTTCAGACAGCTGATCTGATCTGAAGGAGGCTCCAAAGGCCCCAGCTCTTCCTTGTGGCTTGGCCTGATCTTCTTTCTGCCACAGATGTCCAAAAGAGGAAAAGGCATTGGCAGAGAAGAAGGATGTGGCAGTAAAAGGAAGAGCTAAGTCAGTAGGCAACAATGGTCACTTTTGCAAGCTCAGGTTTTATTAGCAAGTACTGGACTGATGGCAACATGATAAAGATGCCCTATGCAGTTATCCAGGCGAGTATTTTTTTCCCTGCTCCTAGCACATCCACAGGTAGAGAAAGGCAGATAAAACGAGAAATGGACTGAAACAAAGGCATTCCTCTTCTCCTCATTGTCAGAATTGACATTAGACATGAAATTAGTATCAAATGTGAATGATGTTATGTACTGTAAGATGATGACTCTTCTTGATGTAACCAGGATTTGAAATACACACAGGAGACTCCCTGTAGTAAAAATGAATACACAAAATAATATTCACAGACTCAGAAAAAAAAGACCTGAGGTGGGACAGAGCAGGGAGGTATGAAGACTCTGTACTAAAGAGGAAGAGGATGAGAGTAGTTGTGCTGATACAGATGTTTAGCTGAATTTGCAAAAAATTTGTGGAGCTGTTAATTGACTTGATAGTCTTCATGCCAAATTTAGAAATCACAGGGGAAAAACAAAGAACAAAATCAATATACATAGTTTTCAACAAATGATTTTGAAATATTTGTGAATAGTATGTCTTTTTTAATGGATCCATTTCATCTCTGAATTGTGTTAAAAACAAATATATTCACAGTGTTTTGACAGAACAGTGAAAGTTATATTTTTAGATATAACCAAAATGTACCTTGTT